GGTGATGGCCCCAGGCAGCCTCCATGCAGTAATGACTGTAGGCTGCAGCATGTGTACAGGTACACAGGGCATCGTTCATTTGGTGGGTCAGATAGAATCAGCCTCATCACCCCTATTCACCCTCCAAACAAGCAGAAATGCTGTAAATGAGGAAAGCTATCAGGAAATGGGGATCACAGAAGTGACTCTGAAGTGTCTCTGTCTGGTTGAGACAATTCAAATGACGTAAACATGTTCTTGTACCTAGGACAAGAGGAAATGGCTCTTCTGCTGATATAGGTTTTTATTTCTGTTTTTATCTGGTAGGTTCTTATGTTGCCCAGGCTGGCCTCAAATTCACTATATAGTTGGGGATGACCTTGAACTCCTGATCCTTTTGCCTCTACACTGCAAGCACTGAGACCGCAGGTGTGTGTCGAGGCACCCAGCCATAAGGTAAACACAGAAGCAAGGGGCCCTTCTGTGCTCTCCGAGCTAAGCACTGAGCCCCAGCTCCCTGCACAGCACACCAGTAGGTCTCATATGGCTACCACCTTGCATCTGATAAGAAGACATTTCTCATAGTGACAAAGAATTCCTATCACAAGCCAGGTGTGGTAGCATACACTTGTAATCACAGCACCCTGAAATCTAAGGATCAGAGGTTCAAGGCCAGCCTGGGCTATAGAGTGAGACTATTAAAGAAATCAGAACTCAGGCAGTAGAGGCAAGTGTTGACATTCGGAGTTGAGCTGTGCCCCTTCTTGTCTGTGACCTGGGATGAGTCACTTAATAGCTCTGTGGCTTGGCTTTACCAGATGAAAATGCCACATGCCCCCTTCACATGACTTCCATCGTAAGACTATGTGACAATTAAATTAATTCAAGGACTTTAACATAAGGCCAGATATCTGGACTCTGATGAGGAGAAAGGGGGAGTAGTCTTGAACTCACGGCACAGGAAAGGACTCTCTGAACAGGACACTGATAGCACAGGCACTAAGATCAACAGCTGGCCGGGCGGTGGTGGCGCACGCCTTTAATCCCAGCACTCGGGAGGCAGAGCCAGGCGGATCTCTGTGAGTTCGAGGCCAGCCTGGGCTACCAAGTGAGTCCCAGGAAAGGCGCAAAGCTACACAGAGAAACCCTGTCTCGAAAAACCAAAAAAAAAAAAAAAAAAAAAAAGATCAACAGCTGATAAATGGGTTCTCAAGAAACCAAAAAACTTTGATGCAGCAAAAGGCACCATTATTCAAATAAAGAGATGGCCTACGGAATGGAAAAACAGTTACCAGCTATTCATCTAACAGAGGCTTGGTATCTAGAATGTACAAGGCACTCAAAAGAATTAAACATCAAGAAAACAAGCAAACCAGTTTTAAAATGGAGCACAGATCTAAAGAGTTCTCAAAAGGTGAAATAAAAATGGCTGAAAATATTTTTTCAGTCAAGACACCCAAACACATAACATAAAATTAAAACTAAAAAATTCAGCATCTTTGCCCACCATAAAAATTAAAGCTGGAACTTTAATTTGAGTTCATCTTACCCCAGTCAGACGGTCAAGACTGAAGAAACAAACAGTACCAGATGCTGGCATGGTTGTGGGGAGAGGGGAAGACTGGCCGATTGGCTGCTGGTGAGAATGCAAGCTGGTACAACCACTGTGGAAATCAGCCTGGAAGTTCCTGAAAATCCGTCAGCCACAGGATCCAGCTATGCCACTGAGGAACACACTCCCAAAGATTCTGTATCCTGCTGCAGAGACACCTGCTCAGCTATGCTCAGTGCTGCTCCAGTCACAATAGCCAGGAGGTGGAAAACAGTGCAGATGCCCATCAGCTGATGACGGACAATGAAAATGTGCTACATTTGCACAACAGAATATTATTCAGTTGTTAAGAAGAATGAAATCTGCAGGTAAATGGATGGAATCAGAAACAGTCATTCCGAGTGAAGCAACCTAGACCCAGAAATACAAATGTTTTCTTAAGATCTTCAGATATGTTTACTCCATTTGGAACACCTGTAGAGGTCAAGAATTTGGTAAGGATTTGTGGAGGGGGAGGGGCTTAAGAAGGAGGGGAGCTAGAACACAGCAGTATAAAGGGTTAAAGAGGAATAAATGGAGCAGGAAGGATTAAATTGAGGTTGGGGGGAGGGGAGGGTAAAGGAGGGAACATGGGAAGGGCGCCTAACACTATTAAAGCCTTATGAAGCCTGACTGTTATAGAAGCTTCCTAAAATATAAAAAGAGTTAATGTGTGTAAAATACAAGCATATGCATATGTGAAGGAGAAGTCACCCTACAACAGGAGGACCATGACCCAACTAGATACCTCCTGCTAGCCAATAAAGGTTCCAGTGCTAGGAACGAGGCACCTCTTTGGAGTTCGTTAGCGTCATACAGTCCCCCAAGCACTGTGGACTGCTGCCAGTGCTCTTGGTTACCCTCCAGAACTTGACAGTACGACCCTACTGCTGGAGACATCACGGGAAAGACACACACCTCGAGCTGAGACTCACCTGGAAATTTCATCCTACTGGTTAGCTTCCACAGAGCTGGAAGGTGCTGTGTACACTTCTAAAGGAGAGAAAGAATCCTTTCCTGTGTGGCCTCTGCGACCTGCCCTAACAGCCTGCCTGACAAAAGACACTCCCTCACACAGGAGCAGCACAAAGGGGATAGGAGTAGCCGGTCCCTTTCCGACTGGATCTAAGGTCCCACTCCATGAGATGGAACCCACGCCTGGCACCGTTAAAGGGATAGATAGACCCTAGACCCTGGGGAAGAGTCGAGCGTTATTAATCTGCTAAGTGGACATAGTGTTAAAATGACCCCTCATGACCTACTGCTATACCCATAGGCCAGAGCATCCCTCAACCCTCACTGGAGAAGCTTCTAGTTGCAGTAAGTGGCAATTAGCCCTGAGACCCTCAACCAGTCAACGCACAGAGGGTAAGAGACCAGGGAGCGTCAGCCCTAAGTGGGACATATTTATCACATCCCTCCCCCCAGGTCTCAGGAATCTTGGAGGAAAAGGAGGCAGAAAGACTGTAAGAGCCAGAGGTGGCAGACAACATCAAGGAAAGAGTGTCTTCCAGACACAACAGGCAGCTGAATATATAAACTCAGAGAGTGTGACATTGTGCAGAAGACCCACAAGCTAAGCTTCAGCCAGACAAAATCCCAGCAGAGAGGGGAAGATAGGCATGAAATCCCATCCCTAGCTGAGGAGCTCTTAGCATTTGATAACTACTGGAAGAGGGAGACTCTCAAGAGAACTAATGATACACCACCTAGTAGGTCAACCACACTCCAGGACAGGCTTCACTCCTGAGACTAGTTAGGCAATACAAACTAGAGTCAATGGGGAGAGGGGGAGAGGGAACTCAAAGTTGAGTGGGAAGAGAGGGCAGGGTGAAAAGGTGGATTATGGGAGGAACTGGGGAGGGGTGGATATGTTCAAAATACAATGTATGAAAATCTCAAGGAACTGTTTTTTTGCACTCTGTTCTTCTGCCCACCCACCCCAACCTGATCCCTCAAATTCCGGTGCCCACCCACCTCCAGTCCACCCAGGAGATTTCCTCTATTTCCCCTTCCCTGGGAGATCCATGTGCTCCCCCTTGGGCCCTCCTTGTTACCTAGACTCTCTGAGTCTGTGGATTGTACCCTGGTTATCCTTTATTTTACAGCTAATATCCACTTATGAATGAGTACACACCATGTTTGTCTTTTTGGGCTTAGGTTACCTCGCTCAGTATGATATTATCTAGTTCCATTCATTTGACTTCAAATTTCTTGATGTCATTGTTTTTAACAGCTGAGTTATACTCCATTGTGTAAATGTACCACATTTTCTTTATTCATTCTTCTGTTGAGGGGTATGTTTTCAAGTTCTGGCTATCACAAAAAAAGCTGCTATGAACATAGTTGAGCAAGGTCCTTGTGGTATGACTGAGCATTCTTTGGGTGTATGCCCAAGAGTGGTATAGCTGGGTCTTGAGGTAGATTGATTCCCAATTTTCTGAGAAACTGCCATATTGATTTTTTAAAACCTTTAAAAATTAATCAAAGGGAGTCCTTAAAACAATGCCTGTTGTGTAGTAACTGTTAAATAAACATTAACATCTTATCATTGTTGGAAGGGCTGAGGAGCTGGTCATGGAAGGGCTCTGAGGTTGACTCAGTCATCTTGGACTCTTGTCCACATTCTTGCCCACTTCCCTCTGTCCTTCTTCTGTGGCTCAGCAAATATCTCCACAGTGAGACACCAAGAGGGCCCAGGACACACTTGAAGGCCAACCTTATCAACTGCCTACTCACTGGGCAGTCTGTAAGTGGGGTAGTAGTTTTGTGTTTCATGTTAAAATGCAAACATGTGTTCATGAACCCTTTTGGCTATTGAAGTCATCTGTCAGTCACTTGAGTATGAACAAGGTCCAGATCCTTTTGTAAGGCCATTCTTTACTGGGAAGATGGTGTAGTGTGGTGATATTATGTTCCCCAAAACATTGTGCACCCTAATAAACTTATCTGGGGTCAGAGAACAGAACAGCCACTAGATATTGAGGCCAGAAAATGGTGGCACTCACACCTTTAATCCTAGCATTCCAGAGGCAGAAATCCACCTGGATCTCTGTGAGTTCAAGGCCACACTGGAAACAGCCAGGCATGATGACTCACACCTTTAATCCTAAGAAGAGAGCCTTTAATCCCAAGAAGAGAGCCTTTAATCCCAGGGAGTGATGGCAGAAAGGTAGATTAGGTGTGAGGACCAGGAACTAGAGCTGGGTAAGCTTTTAGGCTTTTGAGCAGAAGTTCAGCTGAGATTCATTCTGGATGAGGACTCAGAGGCTTCCAGTCTGAGGAAACAGGATCAGCTGAGAAATTGGTGAGGTGAGGTGGCTGTGGCTTGTTCTGCTTTTCTGATCTTCCAGCATTCACCCCAATACCTTGCTCCAAGTTTGTCTTTATGAATAAGACCTTTTAAGATGTGTGCTACAGTGCAGGGAGCTTGTTGGGTATTTGAAAGGAAGAAGAGAAACAAGGGCGACAACAGCACCAGGGGGTGTGGTTGTGCATTCCTTTTTCTTTTTTTTTTTTATCTTTCTTTTTTTTTAAACAGATTCTGCCTGTTTTATTTGTAAAAACAGCATGGGGTCCTGATCACCTGCAAATAGTGTGTAGGTGCATCACACCAGTCCATCTGTCTTCACATTGGTAGACAGAAACCTTTTCTATGTGGCCTTCACAGGGGCCTGGGCTCCTTTGGGAGCCTGAGCTGGAGCTGAGCCCTCTGCCTTGGTTTGAGCCTTGGGCTTTGGTTGGCAGAGCCTATGACCCTTGGCCAGGTAGCTTCTAATCTGCTTCCCGAGCTTGGGGCAAGCGATGAAAGCAGGACGGCTGAGCTTGCGGCTGGGGCCCTTTGGCATCTTGGGCTTCACCAGGGCCTTGATGGCCTCTGCATGCACACTGGCTGCCTTTGCGTTGTTGGCCTGCATCTTCTTCAGGCCTTTCTTGTTGTGCTTCTTGGTAAAGCGCATGTTCCTCAGGAACGTGGGGTCCACCCCCTTAAGAGATTCATATCTTTGTGACTGGGGTTTCTTGATACCATTTCTGCGCCGTTTTCGGGATTGGTTGTGTGTGGTGTGGTTCTCGGACTCGGCTGGGTCGGAACTATAACCAGCGGCTCCGGAAGAGCCTGGGACCGGAAGAGCAGTTGTGCACTTCAGACACAACCTTCTCCCAGTTCCACAGGGGGACATTGGACATTTGCATATCGATAGTCCTTCTAGCCCAGGGAAGGTGTCATCACTATGACCTCTCTATTCATACAACAGGAAATGGAGGCTTAGTGATGCCATGTGATTTCTCTAAGATGGTTCAGCTGCTGAAGATGCTCAGGCCAGCTCTCCCAGGCACCTACCTTCATCTTGCCCATGGCCCAGTCTTGCTCCTCACCAGCAGGGCACTCTGTGGCCCCAATTCCCTCCCACCCAAAGCCACACAGGTGGAGGCAGACAGGCCTCATGCTCCCCGTTCCTGTTTGAGTCCATTCACTGAAGCACCCACGGCAGGCCCAGATATGTCAACATAGAGAGAAAGGGAGGGAAGGTCATTGTTCCAAACCATTTGCAAGAATATCCGAGTTAAAAATGGAAGATTTGTCATTTGCATGGTGAAGGGAGGGGGCTAGGAAGCATTGTTAGGTGTTGGTAATGTAAAAAACGTAAGTATGCTGTTATTTATGTAATTAGTTATTGCTTTCATTATGGGTGCAGTCTTAATGGTTATAGTATTTATGTATAATTACCTTAATATTCACTGAAATTTCCAAGTAGCTCCCTAATTAACTGTCTCAAATATATAATTACATTGCATCTTTCCGCAAGACTTGCCTAATTAATGTAGTTACACCACTTCTTTTGTGATGTGCGTTATTAAATGCTCTTTGCATCCTTCTTCTGACTTCTTGTAATTCACGCTTTACAGAAATTAAGACCTCGAATTAGAAACCTCCAGAAGCAGCTCGGTCCTGCAACAGAGCTGAGGCTCAGAGAGCCGCTGTGCAGACACAGCCTCATTAGAAGCCTCTCCCTGCACAGCTGTCCTACCTGGAGGTAGGAAAAGCCTGGTCAGCTGAAGTGAGGGCCTCAGGCTCAACCTCTTCTCTACCTCCGGCCACTCTCCTCCCCAGGGAAGACCACCCTGTGTCCCAGAATCTCTGTGTGATGACGGGCCTAATCCTACATCTTCCACCAGGTACCTCTGAAGCCAGCTCTCTCTCTCTCTCTCTCTCTCTCTCTCTCTCTCTCTCTCTCTCTCTCTCTCTCTCTCTCATTTTCTAATATGGAAATAGAGCCTGGCTCCACAGAAAATTCTTCAAGGATTAAAGTTAAACATGGCAGACTACTTAGCTGGCAAAGTTCTTACCTTGTAAGCACAAGATCTGAGTTTGAACCCAAAATTCCACATTTAAAATGCCAGGTATGAGAGCACACTTGTGATCCCAGCATTGGGGAGGTGGAGACAACTCCGTGATGCTCACTGTCCAGCAAGCCAAGCCTGCTCAGTAAGCTCCAGGCAGTGAGAGACCCTGACTCAAAAAAAAAAGGAAGATGGAGCCTGAGGAGCAACAGCAGAAGTTGACCTCTGTCCTCCACTTATATACACACTCGCTTGCACATGTGGACACACACTCACATACATTTAAAAACAAGACTTGAAGAGCTAGTGAGCATGAAGAATCTGAAGCATGCTGTGGAGGCAGTGTAGACTTGGGGGGCTATTCCTAGAGCTTTACTTTGCCTCCCCACCAGCACAGTCTTACAGCACATGCCGCCAAGCACACCACCCCAAATCAGAAGCTTAGAACAAGCCCCATGTCTAGGGCACCATGAACACACTTGATTTTTTTTTCTGAACTGGAAAGCTAAGCAGGTCCTGCTACTGTACAGATGGGAAACTCGCCCCATGCTGTTCAGCTTCTAGTTGTGTGGCTGGATAACCAGGCCAGGCTCAGCTGAGGAACTCTCCAGATGGACGAGGCTCAACTAGTTTTCTATCACAAGAGGGATGGCTGAGGTCATTTTTGTGCAGCTTCTCATCTTGTACTAGGCTAGCCTTGTGGGGTTGATCATTTGGAAGCCTGAGGTCGACAGCTACACAGCCTCTAGACAAAAACATGTACATCACTTTCAGAACGTCTCACGAGGCAACCCAGATTCAAGGGCTGAGGACACAGACACCGTGTCTTCATGGGAGGAATCTGTGCCATGGTCTATAATTCACCATGAGGCTTACATCCAATCCAGTCACGTATAAGTAGTGTATCTTATGCATGTGTGCCAATGGGTACAAATGTATTCAGGTACATGTGCATGTGTGCTTACATGTGTGTACACATGTTGCAGTTGCATATGCATGTGTTTATACATAGGTATGCAGGTGCACATGTGTGTAAACACATGTCCATGGGTACATGTATATGCAGGTCTGTAGATGTAACCAACCATCTTATTAAATGAGAAACACAGAACCAATGCAAAGAAGGAAGCCAAGAGATCAGAGCTAAGAGCCTTACCCACCTGCTGCAGCTAGCCTCTTGAGCCAAGAGACCTCTCTGAAAGAGACCTACTTCCTATCTGTTTGTCTTTATATAGACTTTCTGTTCTGCCTTCTCATTGGCTATAAACCCAAACACATGACTGCCTCGTCACTGCCTGTATGTACAGCCCTCCAGGTCTTCTATGGTATTGAGATTAAAGGCGTGTGTCTCCAATGTTGGCTGTGTCCTTGAACACACAGATTTACCTAGCTCTGCCTACCAAGTGCTGGGATTAAAGGTGTGCACCACCAACGCCAAGCTTTTGCTATGGCTCTAATAGCTCTGATCCCTGGGCAACTTTATTTATTAGCATACAATTAAAATCACATTTCAGTACAAATAAAATACCACCATACAGGTCCTCATGCATTTATGTGTAGATACAAATTGTGTGTGTATGTGTGCCTAAGCACCATACATTTCATTCCTCAGGCTCCATACACTTTATCTTTTGAGACAGGGTCTTTCATTGGCCTAGATTTCAGCAACTTAGGCTGCTCTGGCTGGCTGGGGAGCCCCAGGGTCCTCCTGTCTCAACCTTACCTGTGCTGGGATAAACAATTAGGTCCCACTCAACTTTTTATTGTGGGTTCTGAAGATGGAATCTAGGTCCTCATACTGGGAAATGAAGGACTTTGCCAACTGAGCCATCTCCCCAGACACTTGTCTATTCTTTCAGAGGTGAAAATAGTTCCCCAATTAGTCAACAACCAAGGGCTTCCTGGACATCTTCTGCAGACCCAGTGCTGTGGAAGGTTTCCACATGGAATCCAGAAGATGCTGATGACACAGGCCGTTTCAGAACTGCCCGTGTCAATGGAGGAAGCAAAGCCGGCACAGACGAGTGAGAAGCAAAGCGAGTGTGGGCGCTGAGCTCCGTACTCTCAGCATAACCACAGCACTAATGCCCAGAGGCAAGAGGTCAATGGAGTTGAGAAAGCTAAGGAAGCAGGCGGGGATGGAAAGGCCAGCGAGGCCAGACTGCTGAAGTATGGCCAGAACGACACCACACGCAGGGGGCAGCAAGCGCAGATGAGATGGACGTGAGGGTCACGCTGGAAAGGCCCAGCGAAGCCTCCGGACCTGATGCAGGAGTCGGCAGAAAAGCAAAGGAACCTGGACAGATTGTGCCCAAGACCCACCATATTACTTACTCACTATTAAGCATAAAGTTCCCAAGAGTCTAGGAACTCAGCCCTTCCCGGACAGTAGTTTGGTCTCTTAAATACAGCTTTGCTTCTCAGGGAGGCTTTCCCAGCAGCTCCATGTGTGCTCACACACCTGTGTTGCACACATGCACCTCGGCCCACGCTGGCCCCTGACTGTGCTTCGCTGGCCTCAGAGACACAAACCCCAACCGCCTTGTGTTGTATTGTGTACTTCTTTCTGCATTTCCCCACAGAACTGGGGCTGCTTAAGGAGAGGCTGGATCCATTCTGTACCGTGTTTGCCATCCCCAGGTGCTGGGCAATGCCTGACACACAGCAGACCCTCCGTAAGTACCTGTTGAATTGGGTGAATAAGGAAATGGATGCACATCCCATGCCAGGAACCAATCCTCTGGGTCTGGTCAACACCAGAACAGCACTAAACACGTTAACCAGAATAATCATGAATGCTGGGAGAAATGCCATTGTATTTCATGATAATTCAGTAAGGCCACCACCACTGAGGCCAAATCAGCTCATCTGACTGCCGATTGCACCTTGCCACCCAGAAGCTGACAGACAGGGTGCCCATGGCTATCTATCAGTGCACTGTTGGAAGAACATCTGTCTTTTGTGGAGGTGGAAACCAAAACCAGAGGAAAAAGGGGACTTACCCAAGACCAATCAGCTTGCTGATGATAAAAGTGAGGCACAAACCTGTCTTCTGGCCTCAGATCAAGCTTCATTCCCATCACACTCACTGCTATGAGGCACAGCCTGATTGAGTGAAAACTCTTGAGTCCTACTGTGAATTAAGATGTGTTCCCTGTTCCTCTCCGAGCTCTGAGGTGGTTGGAGAGACAAAAAGTATTGTTGGAGGGTTTTGCTCTTTGTAAGGGCAGGGGGGGGGGGTCCTGCCACCCAGCTCCCAAATAAATCACACATGGAGGCTTATTCTTAATTATGAATGCCCGGCCTTAGTGTGGCTTAGTTTCTAGACAACTTTCCTTAAATTTTCTTATCCCAACTGCCTTTTGCCTCTGGGCTTTTCTCTTTCTCTTACTTCTGTATCTTACTCTTACTCCGTAGCTTGCTGAGTATGTAGCTGGGTGGCTGGACTCTGGATTCCTCCTCCTTCTCTGGCTCCTTTGCAATCTCCCCTTCCAGATTTCTCCCTGTATATATTCTCTCTGCCTGCCAGCCCCACCTATCCTTTGTCCTGCCTTGCTATTGGCCAATTCTTTATTAGACCATCAGGTGTTTTGGAAAGACACAGTAACACAGCTTCACAGAGTTAAAACAAATGCAACATAATCAAAAGTCCTTAAACTATTCTACTATAAAAAAGGATACAGATGAAGTCATCAGACTTGATAGTCTGAAGTCACACAACACAGTTCATAGGACAGCCGTGTCTGCTAGCCTGTTCGAGTGTCTGCAGTACAAAGAGAAACACACCTTCCCTCCAGGACTTCCAGTGAAGAGGCATCCCCACCCGCTGTGCCATACCAAGAAGTCATGCACATGGTGCTTTGCACGCAAAGACCAAAACCCGACTGCACAGGCTGCAGTGGGGTGATCCCACCCAGGGTCGTGCA